GCAGGTTGGGACTGTACCAGACAAGTTGTATATATATGAATATGTACACACAGATATACATTCGTTTCTAATGTCTCAATACGACAAATGAAACAAATGTTGAGAGGATGAGGTTCGGGTTTGATTTTATATAAACTTGTTAATATGTAAGGAAAGTAATAACGATAGTGCAGACAAAGATATTCGTCTAACTATCTGGACAATCTGCCCCATTTTCAAGACAGAAACGTGAACATTGACATATCATCACATGTTACAAAGATAAACGGTCACTATGAAACGGAGTTTGCTATTTGACTGTGCCTCTGGTGTGGTATATACATGTAAACTCTCCTGGGTCTGTTATTAAACTTGACGATTTTGTTTTTTCTCCTGTTGTTGACAGAGGCTTCATGACAGTTTAACACTAGTCTTACAAGTTTCCGGTTCTATAAAAAAAATCTTTACGCATAATAGAAAGTTGTGCTGACACATGTATCACTGAACTGCATTTATAATTGGATTTTCAATGACATCGGTTTTTCTTGTCTGTACTATTTCCATGAAGATGCCTCTTATCTTTTAATGACAATTATTTCTTTTCATCGCGATGCTTGGATATACCTTTCCGAGTGAAAATTAGTTTCATTTTATGCCTAGGGATAACGCCTAGAAATTCAAATAGCACTGACACTTATAACCCGCAGAAAGTTTACTAGTTGTTGTTAGCAACGTAACGACAGAGGAAAGCAGGTCAAATAAAATTGGTAAACTACATCTTTTTTTTTAACCTGCACAAGTTTAATGACCTGAAACGACCGAAGCTGTGACGTCGTTTAAGGAGTGAAAACATTCATTTAGCATCTATGATGGAATGCAAAAGAGATCAGTTCAAGTATTTTGCATGATGTGCAGAAGCTTGGTTTAATTTTTGTCATAGGACGGCAATTCGGTGGTATGAAAATGAAGGTGCTACTAAAACAATGCGAATCGCCGGGTCTGAAACCTGATTTATATGAAGACAAGAGGAAGATATTAAGAGGGAAATTGCACACATACTAGTAAACTTACCGTTATACTAGCTTCCCTATTTTAGACACTAATGATATAAGGAAAAAAATATATGTGCACACTTTCCACTTTGTTATAAATAGGAGTGGCGTTTGTATTTTTCCACATTAAAAAATACCAGTAGAAAGGGATTTTAAAAATACGTACAGGGAGGGACGGCTTTTGAACAGACTGATATGTCTTTATAATCTCCCTAACCGCATTGCGAGTGACAAGTGCTTGTTAGCCAAAAGATTGGTGAACACATATACAGTATACGTTAGGGAATGTAACGTTTGTAACAGTGTAAAAGATGCTAAATGTATCGGGATATCGTCAGCACTAACGATAACGTTATGGAAAACAGGAGGGAAAGAAAATTTACCAGTTTGAAAGGGGTTTAAGTTTTCCACCAGATTTCATAGCTATAACAGTGCAGTTCTCAGTTCATTATATAACAGAATCTAGCTCAGGTAGGATCGAAATATTTACAACAACCACTCGAACCCGATAGCTCCCTGATGACACCCCCTTCACAATAAAATAAATTCCAATCCAATACCCATTAGAACCTGATTTTTTATTTTTTATTTTTTTATTTTTTATTTTTATTTTTTTTCCCTTCCAAACAACCCCTATTCGACCATTGAGCCACCAAATACATCTAATTATNTCATCATATAATTTGTCTAGTGGTTTAATTTTAAATTTACTATTAATGTTGACATGTTCATTTTTAATTTGTCGAAATTTTGTCCATCAGTAAGCACATTGGGTCTGCTTTGCAATTTTGTAACTGCATGAACATTTACTCTAGCAGTAATGAGCTAATAACGGACATATCTCTTTGCATAAGTCGAAAGAATGTCTGCGTTTTTTCATGTGGATCCATGTTGTCATGAGTTCCAGTCAGCAAGGGAAAGTTCGTCTCAATGAAGTTCGTAATTATCGTGGTCGAAAAGCCATATTTGGCAGTGGTATTACTGTCTGGTCCCAGAAACTTTCACCGACTACGGATTGTTTTTTCAAAAAAAAAAACGTTTTCACTTACAAAAACAATAGCCAGAAGAGATGAAGTTCTTCCTTTAAAAAACACATGTATTGAAAATCTGGGACAGGTTGCAACTGGAGTGTTATTCTCAGACGTGGGCACTATGATTATTAGTTCAACGTAGAATGCTAATAAAATCACCAGCATCAATAACATCGAATGTACCAGAATAATACTCAAGTTCAATCGACTGCGCAATTTAATCCCATGAAGCAACTGTTGAATTATGCGTCCAACTTAAAGCATCATACAAATACAGTCGACCTTTTAAAATTTCAAAGTCATATCTGCTTTTGGCAGAAAGGTCATCTTGAACTACAAGGCTACACCACTCCATATTCTATCGGATCTACTGAAACAGAATGTATTTAAAAACAGGCACCTTTAAATCCTCGCCATCTGCTGTTTACCAAGTTTCAGTAAAAGACAGAACTGTGTAGCTTGACAGTTCAGCATAAAGATCACAGTTTCTGTGATACAATGAACAAAGGATAATTATGATTCTCTAGCAGGTCAAAGAATTCTTATGATATAGAGTCAGAAAAAGAACAGAGGATGCATTTAACATTACTGACAAACATACTCGCATCACAACATATAAACCGATGGTCTCATTACAACATAGAAAGCAAATAGAAATAAAATGTCGACGATATTCACGAACGGCTGGTAATTGATTCTGAATAGACCCGGCGTGAACGCTTAATGCTCAAAAAGTTAACATGCATGTACATGAGTATTATACAGATCATCGAAAGAGAAAACCAATGTCAAGCATATCATTTACATTTATATTTCATGGTTGGCAGATTGAATATGCCAACTGGAAGTTCCATACCGATCACGATACATGCTAAGATAGATTTGCATTACATCGAACCACGGTTGATGATCAAATGCACTGGTCGAGCTCGGATGGGAAAAGGAGCATGATAATCGCATATGACTGGCTTAAACACACCAGGGAGAAAGGGTAAGGGAATACACAGTAAATTAAAGGGCGCATGTGGCCAGGGTAAAGATAAAACAAATAATGGTACAGGGAGTAGGGTATAGGATTGTAATAATTTTACTCAAAAATGAAAATTCAGGATAAAAAAATATAACATCCATACGCAAAAGATCCACTCGTACTGCAGTATGCGTGAGCAGAGACACTAGTACGATTAACGCAGAGACACTAAGATTAACGCAGGGACACTAGTACCATTAATGCAGAGACACTAGTACGATTAACGCAGAGACACTAGTACGATTAACGCAGACACTAGTATGATCAAATGCTCCATGAGAAAGTGTCTGCAAAATAGTTTACCTTGGTGATATAAAATTAACATAAACGCTGATTTTTTTTATATCTATGAAGATTAGGTCAATGCCTAGCTCGAATCCAGAAAGTATAATTCGTTAAACGTAAACAACAACTTTCATGTTAAAAGAAATAAATATCGCAGTACTAATATTATTTGTGTTCTGCTAATTACTTTTATAAATTCACTGAAATATGCAACAATTTTTGTTTATATAATTTATAACATATCTAAATAACATCTTTCAATTTTGAAGAAAAATAAAACAATACCAATAAAGAAAATATTGTTAAGAAGAGATATTGATAATTAATAATTCGAGGTTCTTATATACCGCTTTATCATTACCTAGTTCGTAGGTCGTCTCAAAAAAGTATTATCCGTGGTTATAGGCTGGGGAGCATACAACCGGAGCTGCCATTTCGGCGCTAACAGCTAACATTCAACAATTCTAGCACTGCCCAACCACGTACTCATTAACAGCCGAGTAGACTGGAACAATCGGAGTAAAGTATCTTGCTCAAAAATACAACCCACACCCTTTGGTCACGAGCCCGGCGTCCTACCACTAGACTACCGTGCCTCCTAAAAAGTAATATAGTAATAAATTATATAGTTTACTACGGACTGTTTAAGTTACAACAATTGTAATGAAACCTATTGGAAATGCAATTACTGAAATTAGGAGATACATATGTTTTAAGTATCATGACTGAAAAACATATGGTAGGTCGGTCGGGATTTGATTGGTGAGCGAGACTTACTTAAGAAACTACAAAATTTCTAAACATATTATTGGGTCTTTTAAATAATAAAATGGGATTTAAATTTGGAGTTGATACCTTCCAATAAAGTAGGGAGGGTATATGTATAGTTGCCTTGTGTATTTGCCACTGGATACAGTACATTCGAGAGGGATAAAATTGTTAGGTCGGAGGTAAAACCTGTGTGTTGAAGAAGTCGATGAATTGGTGTAAGAAGTGAACGAACTCGAATATTTATATTTTGCAATTGTGTTGATATTGGCAATAGTGATGATGGTGAGTATATCACACACTGTAATATATAGGTCTCTGGTTAAGGTTCAACAAGCACCCTGAAGGAGACTTAGCCACCCAAAATTAAACCCTTCTGGTTAGTCATATTCAAAGAACCTAATTAAAATCGGAACTTGTATCGGAACCTGCTGCTGGCCATCTTGTTTTTTCGGTCAGTCTCAAAATTAAACGTACAAAACTAATGACCGATTGAAAACTGCCGAAGAAAGTTTAGAAAAATTTGTCCTGTACCTTTTGAGAAACAGCAATAACAATTCTTTTAAGGATGGATGACACCACAGACCATGGATTATGGGCTAAAGCCCATATATTATAAATGAACGAGGAACTATTTGTGTACTAATATAGCCTGTCGTATCTGTGAAGGAGCATGAAATGTAAACTTATTTAACACTTACACATTGCTGTTATCGGAATATCATAGATACGGCGTAGAAACACGATTCTCAAAACTCTTGTTCATTTTTTTCCTATGAAATTCATTTTTGTGAAGAAGGAGTCCCACCGACAAAGCTACTCTGTATTTACATAATCAAATAATTAAACACACAATCAGATTGACAATAATTTAATGTTCCTGATACAAATATATAAATGATAATATGAAAATGGTGCAAGTTACACAACACAATTAGTAGTTAACACATTTAATGTGATTCACATATTTTTAACCTTGCAAATAGTATGGGTATTACGTAATAATCTGCAATACAAATGTACTATACAATGGAATATGATATATGAATTAAAACCTACATACAGCGAAAACGTGTGTAGTACACCTATCTCTACAAGACCTTGTGTAATACACCTATCTCTACAAGACCTTGTGTAATCTGTGTAATACACCTATCTCTACAAGACCTTGTGTCATCTGGACACTTGCACTACCTATGGCTAGGTCCTGTTGTTGAATGTACTGAATATGTACAACCAGACTTCTGGCTAGTTCTTGCTGTTAAAATGACTTTATAGATTATACCTGTCCAAGCTAGACATTTGTAGAGGTCTTGCTGTTAAGATGACTTTATGGATTATACCTGTGTAGGCTAGACATTTGCACAACCTGACATCTGGCTAGGTCTTGCTGTTAAAATGACTTTAAATTTTATACCTGTGTAGGCTAGACATTTGCACAACCAGACATCTGGCATGGTCTTCCTGTTAAGATGACTTTATAGATTATACCTGTGTAGGCTAGACATTTGCACAACCAGACATCTAGCAATGTCCTGTTGTTAAGATGACTTTATAGATTATACCTGTGTAGGCTAGACATTTGTACAACCTGACATCTGGCTAGGTCTTGCTGTTAAGATGACTTTATAGATTATACCTGTGTAGGCTAGACATTGAAGTTAGGTCTTGTTGTTAGGATGAATATATAGTTTAACCTGTATAATCTGGGCATTTGTGCTAGGTCCTGTAGTGAGGATAAAGTATATGTCATAAATTACACCTGATTAATCTGAAAAACATGTCTATTCCGATTGTCAGAATTGTTCAGTTTACATTGTATAAGTTGAAATCAATTATTTTACTGTAAATTGAAAAACTTATTGTGAATACTTATTTTTGCAATTGTTATTCCAATGACATATTAAAAGGTTTTGCTTTCTTGTTGCCCACCTATTCTTATAAAGTACCCATTTTCACAATGGCATGTTTCCAGCACAAACAGAAAACAGATCATGTGTTCGTCTCTGTAACCAAAACGTTTTACCGATCAGCATTCCTCTTTGACTAAGTTTTCATGTGCAGTGGTGATAATTATCTGTCAATATTTGATGGGTACAGCAATATAAATAGTTCATAGTTGATTTACTAGAATTTATCCACTCTCACATACATTAATTAATCCATTCTAAGACCTGAATACATCAAAATTATCTTCTACAGTGTTCATTAACTATTCTTTTCTTCTTTTGCATAAGCACAACAAAAGACTGAAACCAGGTATACAAGTACACTAGTTTTCTTGTATTTACGACAGCTTATGTCAAGATATGAGGACGATTGTACAAGTGTTTACTGTATACCAGGACTTTTCGCCAAGTCAAACTTTCACCCTTCACCTGTGAAGTCAAAATTTGCCAAGTACTAATTTTGCCTTTCACATTTAATTACTATATAAATGATGTTGTTAGCTGCAATTATAAATTCGCCCTCTGGAAACGGCGAAAATTAAACTGCAGCAATAATTTCACGGTATACAGTATAAATGTATCATACATTCAATGGCTTCTCCTCTGGGCCAGATCCAGGATTTAGCACTGCAACTCCATTTTAAGGGTGAAGTCAACACAGGTAATTTGGAGTAAAATCTTGTTCCATTCAAACACTTTTGTGGTTCCATAACAAAGACCTGGTTGGTTTCTGATACATTTCACTGATCAGACATCTGTATGTTAATGGAAGTGACATCACATGATGCATACCTTTGGTTGTTTTTGGTCATTATGTTGTTTACACACAGGCCGTGATTAACAGAAAAAGACGCTAATCATTTATGGTAAATTATCACTTGCATCAAAAGTCTGATTTACATGATTGGTACTAGAATGCGATTTTCTTTTTCTTCTTTGTCTTTTCATGTTTCTTCATTTCCTCCTGCTCAAGTCTCCTCTCTAGGGCTTGTCTGCGTAGATACTCCGAGTCCTAAAAAAGACAGAGTAGTATGAAATAACTGACAGCATTAAGACTGACCAAGGCTATAGAAACATAACATTAAAATATGGAATAAAAAGCATCCCTCTTGCATTGCATGAAGAATGCTCTTGCTTTCACACAATAAGTAAAAGGCATGCTTAGCAACAATTAAATATATAAACATATATGTTGTTAAGAACCTCGCCAATATAATCCAAGCAAGTTATTTTGAAATTTCATCACCGGTTCTTTTAATCTTTAATTCTAGTACATTTAACTGAAAATTATGGCAAAATAAATTTAGATAAGTTGTTGAATGCCGAGAACAACATCTTATGTATGATATGTATACACATGTGGGAATTTTGGATCAAATCATAGCATACATTTTGTTAGCCTAAATTAAGAAGAAAAAAATGCACTTCATTCATAATTCACTATTTCTAACCTTCCTTTCACATGTTAAGGTAAAGGGTACCTCTGCACAAGTTATAAGTACACGGAAACAGTCCACTTCATACATGTAGCTATTTTTTTCATTATGGAGTATTCTCGCCTTACACAGCATATATACTGCATCTAAATAAGAAAGTCCAATTGCTTTTTCTGAACTAGTTCTAATAATAACAATGTATAACAGGTAGACTCTCTACAATCTGAAAGTCTCTGTTAACAGACAATTCATCTGGTGGCCAGTTTAGACAGATACACTGTATACAGGAAGATAAATGACATACAGGCAATTTTCTGGTTTAAATAGAAACTTAACAGTCCCCAGATGAACCCTGTTTTTCTGTCTTTCTTGTTTTATTGTATATATATTAAATGCTGTTTTTATGTACTCAAGTTTTGAGCCAATTCAATTCTGTAAAATGTATCATTAGATGTGTTTTATACAGAATACATCTGTAATAATGACAAATATTTCACGATTGTACAAGTAATAGTGTATTTCAACATGATGAAACTCTTCACCTTAATTACTACCTTAATACGTTTATATCAAATAAAGGATTGGTGTTTCACCATACATTGTAAAAAAATGTTTAAAGCTGTAACATACACTGGATAATAATGCAACAAATTCTATCAGAGCAGTACAACTCCTAAAAGTGTCCTTTTCTTTCTTTTCCTGGTCTAAGGGAGATAATCCTACCTTTACAGGAGATCCCTCAGGTGTGTTGGAGGCAGAACTCTTTGGGCTCTTGGCTGGACTTGTTTTGGGACGGACTTTGTCAGGAGACACACTCTTTGGACCAGTAATGGAAGGTGGGAGACGGCTTGACCCCCAAGATGGACCAGATGATCCCTTCCTCTCAGCTGCATCCCCCAAACTGGTATCATCAAATTCATCATTGTTGTCTTCCTCTGATAAGCATATAGTACACAAATGTCATATTTAGTGAGAAATCTCACAATGCCATTGTATAATACATAGAGTGTGATCAATGAAACACAGTTATTATAGCTTTATCAATTGAGCAGAGACTTATCAGAATTTAAACTGGATAACAAATTGTTTAAAGAACAATTACATATTCATGTTACAACTTCCATATTTTAATATAAATACAGCCGTATAAGAAAAGGAATGAAAGCTAAGATAAGCTTTATTTTAAGTCAGCAAGTCGAGGAATAAAAATAAGATAAAGCTCTAATGAGGTTGTAAGAATATAGAGAGCAAAAGCACAAAAAAACACAATAAAAACTCACATTGACATTGACACCAAAATTTAAATTAAAAACAAATAAAACTCAATAACTTTAACAGCCGTAAATGCGAAAAGGTAAATATTTTTTGTATTCTTGTAAATAACTCTTTAACAAAAGTGCAAATTATCATAAATTTGAAATGTAACTACTGCCAATATCAACTTACTTTTTGTGGGTGATCTGTTGATCCATGCATGCTTGGTCATGATTTGTCTGTACAGATCCTGGCCCGCCTCCTCAAATGCTGTACTGCCAAGGGCTTTCACAGAGCTTTCAAAGGTCTACACACATACACAAATTTGATAAAATGATGGCGATAGTTTTTTTCATATCCAAATTGTGGATTTTAATTGAGCATTATACTAACTAGAATACTGACGGGTGAGTGTGTGTGCATGGTAGTATTTTTCACTCATAACTCCAAGAAGAATTCACAGCGATCATTTTGATTCGACATATTGCCATTATTGGTAAAACTATTTTACACATGTTTTCAATCTGAAAAATATCAGACCAGCAGAACAAAAGCTATGACCTGCTAGGTCACCGCCAATCAGAAGCCATGGTGACCATCTTATTTTACAGGATTAACCCCATTATGTCCATTAGACATACATACTTTCTGGAAAATTGAGACAATTTTATCACTGCTACTATCACATTTTTTTTTACAACAAAAACTTGACCTTCCTTTTTCAATACCGATCAATACCTACCTTTGCCATCAACATTTCATTTTCAAATGCTGTCTCCACAAATCTCTTTGTTTCAATATGTTCTGGAAAAAGAAAATAATTGATATATGAATGATTCACAATAACATTAACAGATAAAAACAGATAAAATACACTATGATCAGCAGAAAAGCCTACAGATAGAGAACACTTAGGGTGAGGGTACACAAAATGGAACACTTTTGATACTCATTTTCTGTATTTCTTTGGTATCAACAGCATGTGTGTCTATTTAAAGAGCTCATTAAAGAGGGTCACATTCACTTGGAATTTTAAGCTGGCCAAGTACCCAAAATGGAACACATATAAATCAGTTTAAGAAAATAACTGACCGCATTTAAATATTTGTCTTTGTTTCAAAAACATTTTGACAATTTCCGACAAGTTTTAGTCATTTATTCCCTAAAATATTTGTTTGAACATTATTTATGAATCTTGTCAAAATTTTTTCATTTTAGCTTGCCAGAGGCTCGCTAAATTGAAAAATTCTTTGACTCGTTTCATTAATCTCATATGAAATGGATACTCATGTAAGATTCTATATATATCAATTTTAAAAACAAGTCTGCATCACCTATTCAATCATCAAAACTTAGCAACATGTATCATCTCTATTTTTTGCACAGCTTCTTACTGGGAACACAGAGACAACTTTGCCCGAGGCGTATGAAAACAGAATACCTACTTCTGGAGGTCTTCACACCCTGGGTTTTGTAGTCATCTATTTCTTTGTCCTTATTTTCGATGACCTTCACAAGTTCCTTCTGTCGCCGTGCCAACTCACTGACCATACCCATCAAAGGTATAATCAGGTTTTCTGATACCTGAATGGATAAAAAAATATCTTGGTATGAAGAAAACTTATTTGTATAAAAACAAAGGAAAAATTTAGAGATCATTAGTGTGAATGAGAACAGCAAACATTTTTGTTTTAATTCCTGCGGGTTTTTCTTTTCAACAATACGAACTGATACAAACCAAGTTAATAAACAAAAAGAATTTTTGCAAAAGATCTTCGCATTATTTGTTTCTAAAGTTTTTTTGCAAAGAGTTTATTTTGCCATTTATTGGTGGCACTAAATGATCAGTTAACTATAGATGCCTATTGAAGCATGGACTGGTAATTCCAAGCTTACCATCTCGCCGTCAGCCACACTAGCTATGAAGTTCCATGCAAAAGGCATTCCTGCCAACTGGGAGGTGATCTTCAACATGATTTTCTCCTGGTCATCATCACTGCTCGACTTAAAGCCAACTGACAAGGTTGTCTCCCTTTCCGGGCATTCAATACTACTCCTGATCTGATCTAGGATTCTCGTCAATGATGCCTCTATACTAGGATTCAATTTCTGAAAATTATAATTTCATAAAAAAAACACTGTGTGCGTGTATTTCCTACATTTACAGACAAGATAAAATAATTCTGCTTGAGCTTCAGATGCTACATGACTGATGAAAAATATTCTCACGGTAACCTTTTACTAATCTTTTACAGACTAACATTTTTTCGCAGATTTAGGCATTACCTGAGTTTAATACTTAATGCATGACACTGCTTCTTTTGTTAACCATACTGATTCATCCAAAAACACCGGTACATATACTATAAAATTGTAATCAGACAAATTAATCAACTATATAAACATTCATAGAGCTCGATAGATAACTAGCACATACATTCATCAACATGTGGACAATATATCAATCAGGGGGTTGAACCCAGGGCCTTTCAAAGTTATACAGTTTTAGTTACTTAGTACACAACATGTTGAATCTGTTATTCGAAAAATGAGAGCACAGTCAATACCTCTTAGATATTCTTGACTAAACCCTCTGTTTTATTCAGATAAACAAACAAACAAAATTCTTCCATTACCATTTCTTCATTGAGAATTTGTAAGAATATAATTATGATACTACCTGTATTCTTTTCCTAAGGGCCATGTCTTCTAACTCTTCATACCAAAAGTGGACTAGGTCAGTGATTAGAATTTCATAGGAGTCTTCTGTGAACCGAAACTTGATGAGGTATTTAATTCCGTCAACCTCAATGGGTTGCCATGGACATGAACTAAGGTCGGGCTTCCATCTTCTCCGCCAATCTATTTCAGTTGACATGATTGTTCTGAAATGTTTGTAAAGCATTTAGTTTCTGGCAATTATTAATTTATCTACTTACATATATTCCATTGATGCAACTTGGGAATTGACATATTTTCCACTGTAATCAGATTTTTACCAGGAAAAAAAAGTTTTTTCCTACTTACCTACCCTATTTTTTTGTGGGTGGGTGGGGGGACCCAAACAGGAAACACACATAAATGTGTGAAATAATTAAATAGTTTTAATTAGTTACTCTCTTGTCTATAAAGGCCAAATAAAATATATATTATTTAGAACACCGACTGGTCACCAAGGGCCCTGCTGAGTGCATGGTCGACTGGCCGTATTTATAAACCCATTACTGCATCGTGCATTTTTTTGTTGTATCGACCAGTGTTGTACGAGTATTCAACATACATATTCTGTAGTGGTTGTAGGATTTAGCATGTGCATGCAGTGTTCAGAGGATTTGGAAGCCCATTCGTTCAAATTTAGAATTATAAATGATTGGAACGGTCTCTCTGATCAAGTGGTTAATGCCCCATCTCTGTTTTCCTTTAAGACCAGGTTAAACAAATACTGGATAAATCACCCCATCAAGTTCGAACCAAGCTTCTACTAATTAGTTGGGTTATATAATTAACACATACAACCTCCCAAATATTCAATCCAAATTCAGTACTTTTTTTAACTCATTAAACCCTTTAAATATCTATACTTCTAAGTACAGGTATCATGACAGGTCTATACAGGCCTGTCTGTCCTTTTTTTTTTATAACTGAATACCCTTATCTTATATGAAATTATTATACTACCCTTGTTATCACCCACTGCACCTGTAAATAATTGTCACTTGTTATTGAGAAACAAGTCTNTGCACGTCAGGTGTGCATGTTGAAGCAGTGGGCACGATACCGCTTCCCATCCATTGCTAGCTAAACTAAGAACTAATAAAACAGTTATGACCAAAGAAAACGAAAACTGCTGTAGATGTTTGAAAACAAACGCACCTGCTGCCGATCTTCCCTCTCCTCTTATTAAACCGGAAGTAAAATATAAGAACGCACCGGGAGATAATTCTGGATATATCATAATTTAATTTAACTTTCGTTTTCGCGGAGGCTTATCGTTTTTGACCAGATCGATTAGTGTTTAATCAATTTTGATAAATCAGCAAGGATAAAGACTTACAACCCTTCGGATTCTAACTCAGTATTTTTCAATGGTTTAAAAAAAAAAAATATATATATATATGAAAAGCAGTGCCCATTTTTTCATCAATTAACAAATTTGATTTAACCACTGAAACCGTCTGGAATGAAATAAATGAAAGTGGTCCTTCTGGGTTTTTTCAATAAGAGACGAATCTCCAAGGTTGTAGCGATTACTGTCTCTGGAGCACGTTATTTGGCGCGACCACAGTGACCAGAGAATTTGTTCCCAAGTGAATAAATGTTATAAAAGAGTTGATATTATACCCTAAAATGTCAAACATTTTCAGAACACATCAGTTTGGGTTAAAACATTATCAATTCCCTGGGCGTTTCACTTCTATCGTCAACTTGTTTAAAACGCAAATAGTCTAGAACACATGAAAGGTCTTCAAAGGAGTTTGGCTAGATGTTTTCTGGAACACGTTTGGCTATCTAAAAGAGACCCCACGTTGTATTCTTTTTTTAATGGAAGGTGTCAACCCCTCATTCATTTATTAACATATTTATTTATGTTTTACTTATTTGTGTATAGCCTAGTTGTGCAATCCAGATTCTAACAGATAGACACAGTGACATAATGTGTATAGAAAGACAAAAAAACATGCACATTCATGCTACCAGGATCCACGTGTCGTCTGCCTCCATATATCACATTTAGAATATTCATAATCGTTAAGTCCATATATGAGCAACTATAAGTGCTACATGAATGCTACGTGCACTAATTATAAAGCTATAGGTAGGGGTGTGTCGACTAAAGGCATGCCTTTTTTATAATTATATTCCCTTACACTAGTATATCATACTAAGAGAAGTTGCAGCTAGGGTACGTATACGTAGTAGTCCGAATTATTCTGACGTTTTATCGACTTTTTTCATATCGGTAGGTAATCGTCAGACCGATATGAAAAAAGTCGATAAAACGTCAGAATAATTCGGACTACTAGGGTAGCTGTACTGATCACGATGACTATAGCTAGCACGGCTTCGGTGACTTGCTTTAGAAGAGGTGAACTAAATCATATTCTATATTAAGAAGCTTGGGAAGTTGTACTTTTTGTGACCTCTTTGTGCTGAGGCCATTAATGAAAATCACTTAAATAATAACCAACTTTGAAGTGTTATAGTCAAAATATTTTAGATATGGCCAAAACTTTAAACTAATTGCAAAAGATTATTTTTTCCACAATGATCAATATATATAGATTATAAAACAAAATCTCGACCTTGGGTAAAATCGTGATCACGAAAATATAATGAAAAATATTTTTTTGACTTGGAATGGTAGTGTCTACCTTTTCTGTCAATCTGAGCATAGGAAATTAATAAGAGTATAGAAAAACCGACTAAATTCAGTATTTTGCCAAAACGTAGCACTGGAGTTATTGTGTTGCAAAAGAACTACGTGCATCAATATGGCTTACAAGCATTCATACATTTAAGATATTGGCTTAAGTTATCTTTTTAATCATGCACAATACGGTAAGCAAATCTCAATAGCAATATTTAATTTGCATATAATACTTACGCTGCCTTCACACACACACAAGTATCAGCCTTTTCATTTCTGATACTCTCGTGTTACATACTATGCAGATATTACACTTCAAAGTTGGTTAAATGAAGGATTTTGGGTTTATTTTTCGACGATTTTTTCATTATACATATAATTATGAAAAGAAACACACACACACTAAAACTTACAGAGCATACATGCTAGCACCAGATATCTTCATAATCTACACATGCACATGTCAGGTATACACCATACAACCATCATATTCTGCGTATTTATTTGCATATATATATACACATGCATACACATAACACTAGTATGAAGTCAGCTATCTATATATACTGACACTCATATATCTCATACCTAGGTGTATCTATAATTCATCTGTTACCCACCAATACACACACACACCATCAAACACACAACACACCATAACAAACTCTCAGACACCTATCTAATACACAGGTTAATGCACACATCACTCTCTTACTTTAGAACCATAAATACTAATATACTATCTGTTGTGTACATCAAACCTACATACTATACTGATATAAGAGTAATAGCAGTAGTATAAGTTTAGAGATAGAGAGAAGAGAGAGAGAGAGGAGACGAGAGAGAGAGAGGAGAGAGAGAAGCGAGAGAGAGAAGCGAGAGAGAGTAAGAGGTAGAGGAGGCAATCTTACATGTAAACATTATATATTCGTAAGTAGCCAGTGACTTAATCAGAAAACTGTCGAGGCCTTGGATATATACAGTATACTAAAGTAAATTAAAACACAGGAAAATAGATTAACCAAACAGCTATATATCTATGATAGGTTTCCATTTTCTCCAACCTGTTTCAAATTTCATTTTGACGTGCTCACTTTTACCGTTATTAATATAGTTTTGAACAATGAAATGAGCTTTAATGACATTAATTAGTGCATTGAGATTTAAGGATTTGCAGAGACGTCTAGTCTTGTATATATAATGCTTGATAAGGATTAAAATGTCATTATCAACAAAGCTAGAAAGGTGTGAAGCTATTCCAAAAAGGAAGGATTCCTTATTAAAGTAAAACGGGATAACAAATAGATCCAGCAGAGTTTCAAATCTCTCAGGATAATTCCTGCACTTCTCGACATTCCCATAGACAATGAATTATTGTTTCTTGTTCTATATAACACAAAGTACATAACGGGCTAAGGGTTAAGTTAAATTTAAACAGAAAGGTGTTTGTAGCCAAAATGTGATGTAAAATTCTGACTTGGAACCACTTAAATTTTGCATTTTTAGTTACTGTAAAAGAATTTTGATTTTTTTTGTCCATTTTTCATTATCAAAGTCAATCTCATGGGTTCCATTTATTGATCCCTATAGGTGTTGAAGCTGGAGTAATAATACAGTTATAATAATCTTTAACTCCTTTTTTATTCTTAAAATAAATTTCAAAGAGAAGAGGTATAAACGGTTGGAAAGATCTTTCTATAGCTATCTGAGAGTCAGATTTCCTAACTAAACGCTTGACAGCTGAGTGATTATATTCTTGATGCTAAAGAGAGTTACAAAAAAACATTTTCCCCAAGGTTGATTCTTTGAGACTTTTTGTCTTACATTATACATATTTCCATCATTGTGAAAACAAATAATAAATTCTGCTGCAATTAGTTCAATACCAAACTGGAAATTGAGTGGATTATAATATCTACCCCATAAGAACCCATGTACCATTGAGTTTAGGACATTAAAACTGTAGCAAGACCAACGAAAGTACAACAAAATTCTAAATTAAGTTTTTTTCATAAACGCTTGCAAACAGTTGTCTAAATAACTGATTAAATGGCATTTCAAATTCGTGATGCACACATGGAAAAACATAAAACTGTTAGAAAAATGTACATGTACATCGTTGACTTTGGGCTTAAAAGTAGTTCCAAAAAGCTATTCTTTCAAAAATTGTCTTGATAAAAAAATTCGCTTGTGAAATCAATATTGATTAGATACGCATGTTAGGTATATATACCATCTTTTAATGATTTAGTCATAAACCAACATTGCCATTGCAATTTACTTACAAAATCGTATATCTATAAAACGTCAATATATCTTATACCGTTGAACTTCAGCTTGATGATGCTTTACACCATAATGATAGGTCGACCTTTGTATTATAATGACAAATCCCGACTGTACTTTTAATGGCTAGCCATTCCCAAGCTTAATGAGATTATCCTTTTTCTATTATTGTCATAAAAGCAAACCAAAACTACTTTCGATTTCTTTGATAATTCTGTGTTGTGTTCGAACAGCCGCTGTTTTATTAAAAATGTATTATATGTAGACGTTTGTGGGTTATTGATTCTGGTGCATCATTTATCACACACATACTGTTCATATATATATATGTCTTCATTAGATAGACTTTTTAGTGATGACATTTGTCGAGTTATTTAATGAGGATTTTCATCTAATGCTCTTGTACCGTCTTTCACAGGTCTTGTACTGTTAGTCCTATGACAAAGGTCAAAGTTACAAAGCTGTGTATTTAGGCATGTTTATTTTTCTTTACCATGCAAATTTGTTTACTGTACCTTAAAAATCTCAACTAATTTGGTCATTTTTATTGCTCAAGGATCTGAAGTTCCTCGTGTGACTGATTATAAATTAAACAAATGAAGGAAAATGTTTGAAAATAGCTAGAGTACCAATTAATGTAGACTAAGCGTGCCGTGTTCAAGAGTATGTGGTTTGTCACGATGCCACCCTCTTTTACTGTGTAATTATGATCGTATGTTTGGGCAACTTCCAATCAATTAAAAATTGTCGTACACTGCTTCACTTTACTATAGAAAATCAAAGGCGAGGTATACGAAGTTAACGACCGGATGTTGGAGGCCCTAGACGAACTTGAAGGTCATCCAAACTTCTACCGTCGCGAGATGATCCAGGTCACGTGTGAGGATGGATCTGTCCTTGATTGTGACTGTTATTTCCTGTTGAACTTCTGAAAGGATCTGCTAGAACTACCCTTTTATGAATTTCATCATTTCGAAGGGTCGCATGACTTGAAGTTCTCCTTGCCTAGCGTGGAAGAGGGCGTAGACGAAGCTGAAGAGAAGCACAGTTTTCTTGCTTCTGTTTTAAACAATTGAATAGTTGATTTTTTAACTTTTGCAACATCGTATTTCCGAAAAACATGATATGTCAGAAAACATTGTATATTCTATCCAATTGAAATTTGGAATCTGAATATCAACTGAAAATTTGTTTTATACCAGATATTCAAAGAACAGAATAAAACTGAAAATCCCCAATGTTACGAAAATATATATATTTAAGAAATACGCCCAATTTTCTCTCGAATTACTTGGCTATATTTTTTCACTTATGCAAAACGAAAAGTTTTAACACATATATCTATTAGATTCTTCGTTCGTATTCATACCATTCTCAGGAGGAGGATACTAGTGTACTACAGAACAGTTCAGACCCAAATTTTACTCAAGTGATGTCAACTTCTGAAGCGTCTCATGTGCGTATCGTTGATTTTATTGTTAAGTGGTATTGAAAGACACACGAGAAAGGTTGTACCGAGATAAATTGTAATTGAATATTAAAACTCTAGCTGGAATTGGTAATATCTTTACAATTATTACAACTGAAAACAAAGTATTTAAGGTCTATTATTCAAAACGATCACTCACAGCTAGTAAACGCAAACATGCTCGTATCTTATTTTCAACACAAATGGTATTTTGAAAATAACAGTTTTCTTTAGACTAATGTAGAATATTCTTTAAATAACTTTACATGTCACCCAATTACTCATGTCCAGTGACAATACTTCAGTTTCCTTTCTTTTGTTTGTGTACACTCCAAAAGATCGAAGCTTCAAACGTTTTTATATATTTGTATGTTAACACAAAATGCACAATTTCTCTGTAATGGTTGGTATAAACCGATACATAGCCATCGACGTGTAGTTTATATTATTTATGGTATTTCTTACTACCTATGTAAATCACTCATGATAATTAAGCAAGAAATGGCTGACTTTAGGCGTACAGTCACGATCCATCGGTTCATACTTATTAAGAATGTAATTAAATTGTAAAAGTTGGGTGAGACCGTACATTTTATATAGGCAATACACACATACCGTTCGACATGGAGTCGGCTATGACGGATCTTAATACGCGTACATCTATGGATTATTCAATTAAATTGTAGATTGAATCAATGAATAGGATTGTTATAAACAATGCACAAATAAAAACAAAATTAAATTAAACAACGCAGCAAATAAAATTAAAAAAAATTAGAACATGTGTAATAATACTATACTAATGTGTGTCAAGAAACGTTTATCTTTAATCATCAATCAAATAACGATATTTTTATTAATGATGAGTCAACGTATGAACGTCGTAAAAGAATTTAGCAAAGAATCCTCCTGTTAAGATCTTAATCTCTTAGTTAAAATCTTTGAGTCAAGTTAAAGCTTTCAGGACAATTAGTAATACTTTCTTTAAGTGATCTGCTCTTCGGCCTAAATTTGTCTCGTAGTCTTAAGCACAGTTAGTTGATCGTAGTATTTTGTAAAGACGCTTACAAAACGAAAATTCATGTTCCGGTTTGGACCAAATATTTTGATCTGCTGACAATATTTATTTATCAATTTATTTATTGTTTATTTATTTATAAGCTTTATATGTATTTATAAAGATTGAAGCAGTCTCATGAGCATGTTAAATCCTTCAATAAAAAAAACCACGGTGCTACAAATACCATTTTCATTCAGGGTCAAAGTCCTCAGGGTCGGGACCGGTACCCGTGATCGATCCTGGTTGCATGGATGCACTGACTAGTCCAGCTTTACACTTACACCTCTAATTCTGTATGGTCCCTTATATCCTTTACACAACATGTGATCGCCTTGTAGTATATCAGACCCAATACGGCTCAAGGACAACAATCCACGCAATCCTTTAGAATGAGGAAACGTTTATATATTAAATTGCCTAATCTTGTCCAATTATGTCCACAGAATTTGTCCTTGTCTTAATGATGCTAACTGCTTCATTTCAACCCTTCAGGAGAAGAAAACGTTGGGAGGTTGAAATTCACCAATTGCCACTTTTGGTCTTCCTCTTAGTCTCCAGGGTACTACGCTCTTTCTTTATGAAACGTTAACTTCGCACCTGCTACGGATGCAACATGACTTTTTATGAATTAGCATTATCGCCGCCCTTGCTTTAATTTTCAAAAGAAAATAAATACAAGAAGCTATTGGTAAACATAAATAAAGTTAAAACAAATTATTAGTTTGTGAATCCATTTGATACCAAATGTAGTGTTTAATGCTCTCCTTGCTCAACCATTACATTATGACACCGTCCTCGTGTGAATAAGAATAAATTACTACTATTTTGATACGAACTTTGACAGGCACTCATCTATCTTATGTTTAGTGAAGATTTAATCGGAAAATAATTTAAATATTTAACAAATTATCCTCGCTTACATGTGAATTTCTATATAACTAAACTAAAACGAGTCCATACGTATGCTTCCGAAAATGTTGTAACCAACAATATACTTTAACGCAAAGAATTTCAAAAATAAGAAAGAAAGAAATTTTGGCCATACGTATTTTTTATTAGGAAATTGAATATTGATTTTGTGTATTGCTTTTCCCCAGTCTACTCGCTTCTACAGAAAATAAATTTCAGGATTTCATTGTTGTTTGCATTCATCTTAAAGGTTTGTGTAGTGTTACATATTAATTGAAGTCATCGAATAAGAGAAACTACATGTATATGGATTTTCACTATATTAAACAATGATATTTAAAACTTTCTTTTAAGAAGCCCGTTATTTCATGTGAGTTTTATATATTTTCAATGACACTTCTGTAGGTTAGCAAGTATAACAGTATGGTGTATGTTAGCATCAAAGTACTCCATACACATTAAAACATATTTTACAGGTTAATTTGTAATATATCGTTAACAAACAGAAGCGATAGTAAACGTCAACGTTAGAGAAACCTATTGCAATCGTCTACACCTCCGTAAATGAGACAGTTCCCGATTCAAGGAAAACTAGTTTCAAGTGCCGGTCTTCACTCGCTCCCAATTATTTGACCTCGAGGAAGATTGTATGGGGAAGTAACTCTGCGTTTATAGATTAATTCAACTTTAGTTTCAGCGGGACATAGCTTAACGTTCTTATCTATTGTCAATTGGATAGTATACATTTATTCACACGTGTCCTTTAGTGTTGCTTTTTGTAACGATGAAAGTGTTTGTGTATGGAACATTGCAAAGAGGNTGATAGACGTGCCCACCACCTATGGTTTGACGATACACAAGACGGTCGTCATGAGTTTTTAGGTGTTGGAGTGACCACAAAACAGTACCCACTGGTGATAGCCTCGAAGTTCAATATTCCGTTCATGTTACCTGTTGAAGGAACCGGTAATGTAAGTATGATACTGGTAATGATCTTGTATTCTGTCACCTTGCGTTATGAGGAATTAAGGATATATAAGGTTTATTTTTATGTATATAGGCCTATTATGTATAATTTTTACAATTCTGATTCAATTGGTGAACACATTAAAACCGTACAGTTACAACATTATGCCATACCTGTTTGCTTTATACCTAAATTAATTGCAAAATACATTTTTTTATATTAAATATAAATTCATTTTAATTTCTATTATTAGAAAACTAAATTTAGAACAGACAACGTCATAAAACGATGTTTAAAAGAATTGTTCAGATTTTATGATAATGAATTTCAAACCAAATAACAAAATTCAAATTATTAAGTGATTATTAAAATTGATGTTAAAATAGAGATTATTCTACAATAGTTTTTACCACAGAAATTCCATATTTACCACGATTCTAATAAATGTTAATACAAAATAGGACTGATATCAGCAAAATAACGTCGACTTCCAGACAATTGACGGAAACAATAAAAACATAAGCTACCTCGTATCTTCGAAATACAAGGGTCACGCTCTCAATAACCGAAAGAAAGAGTAACCCCTGAAATGTCGAGGATAACCTTTATTTCATATATAACCTGCGATATCCTGGATTTTAACCTTTACTCAAACTATTTTTGTATTAACTGTACATTTTGCCACTAACATTACATGACCTACTTGTATTCATATGTCTATTTGATTATATTATAACTTACTATGAACTTAGTCTAAACTTCCGTGAAATTACCAAGAAAGATTAAAAAATAGGCCTGCTATAAGATTTCCTATCATTAACCTGACACAATCTAGAATATATCTTTGGATGATTAACACGAAGCGTACATAGTCTCACGAGTCTTGTATGTACAGTTGGGCGTGAGTACTTTGTTAAAATAGGGCATAAATATGTGGTGTGCCTGACTTTGAATCATTATCTTATGACTTGACAGGCTTGTGTATAGGATATACATGTCATGACTTATATCAAGGTGATAATGGAATGCGACAAGTGGTGTTCAGCTCTCGGTATTACACAATGTTATATTGATGTTAATTTATATTGTCGGCCGAAATATAAAAAGTGTATCTTTTTAGAGAAAGAAAAACATGGTTTCCTATTTCGTCGAGTAAATGAATGGTCGGCAGGAAGGTAGTTTTTGCTTATTTTCTATAGAACAAATAAAGCAAAGTTACTGAAATAAATGATAAAAGAGAAAATTGGCCAAAAAAGAGGGTAGGTCAGAAGAGACGGGAAGTATACATTAATTGCTAACATTAAAATAGTTGTAAGGTGCTTTTATAATTTAATTTTTTAACAACACTTTTTTATTGATTAAAAGTCAAGTCTAATTAGGATATGGAAACAAGCGCGCATATTCTAATTGCTCTAATTACGTTAATAAACCATTCATGTGCGAAATTCCTTCAAAAGCCTTCCCCGAATAATGGATGATTTTTCTATGTCGAGCGACGGTACAGGCATGCGTGTGAATATCTTTTATACAGACTGTAGTGTAAACAAGTATCATATCAACTGCCCGAGGTAAAATGTGGAAAACTTGTGAAGTTGCAAACAGCTAAATAACACTACCTGGATTACTATTTAGGTCATTTTGCCTTATACGCACTGAAGTACAAGACGCAGTACATTCCGTTAAATTTTGACGTTCAGAATATATATAAAAAAAACATGTGTTTGTATATTACGGCTGGGTTTATTAAAAAATGCTGGAATACAATTAATTTAGACTGACTCGGCATTCGTTTGTTTTCAACATTTACACAGTTATGTTATATGCACCACAACACAAGCACATACCGTTTGTGGATTATTTCTTAAATAGTAAGATTTACTTTTATTTTGAGGACTTAGTATATTTTCTCTACGGAACGGTCAGACTACAATACCCGGTATTTGCCATTCAAAAGTATTGTTCCAAAGTTTGTGATATTTGTTGAAAATAAGACACTTCATCATCACAAGTCCCAAAAGACCCTATAATATACTTGTGACATGAACAATGAAATGTTGTTTATCGAGGTTAAGATATTGATGAACTTTCCTGTTTAACCCTTTTATATAACACCCTAATATGAAGGTTCAAAATGAACTTTGTGTTTAAATAATGTTTCTTCATAAACAGAAAATCAATGGAGAGGTGTACGAAGTTGATGACCGGATGTTGGAGGTCTTGGACGAACTTGAACGTCACCCAACCTTCTACCGTCGCGAGATGATCCCTGTCACAAGTGAGGATGGCTCTACTGTAGATTGTGGCTGTTATCTTCTGTTCAACTTTCGGGAGGATCTGTTAAAGCTGCCCTTTTATGACACTTATGACTCCAAAGGTTCCCATAATTTGCCATATGTTCCCCATATTTCGAGGGAAGACAACGACGATCGCGAAGAGAATCGCAACTTCATTTCCTCGGTCAAAAATGTGGAATGATTGAATTTCAAACTGTTTCTTCATCATATTGGAAATATCCTTACGTATACGGTCAGTAGTTTTTCGTCAACAAGGACTCCGATCATTGTCCGAGGGAGCTTGTCTACAACAAAAATTAGGATAGAAAAGATATAAAGGCAGACTTAAATTTATTCTTTGAAATTCATTTTTTGTTTTCAATAGAAAATTCTGGACCAGTGTGTAGGCCGCATAGTCCATGATTACAGTTCGACCCACTGTTACTGGGCTCTAGCTTTCAGATTAAACGCCGAACTACATATTTATTGAACTATACTAACATACAGATATACGAGGATTTCATTTTTTTTTTGTATTTTTCATTTGATATATAATCAAAGATCTTGAAAGTATTAGGAGCCGCACAAGTATCAATAACATAAAAGTTAGAGTCCAAAACCAATATAAAAAATCGACATGCTTTTGGATCAATGTTAAGGGGAAAATGCAACACATCGAGCAGAGAACAGCATTGAAGTTTAATTAAAATGGATACTAGATTACAAACGTCATAATAAAGATAGAACACTTACTTAATGAATCTAAATGACATACATCATGATAAAGATAGAACACTTACTCAATGAATCTAGATTACATACGTCATGATTAAGATAGAACACTTACTACAGAACTCCTAGATTACATACGTCATGATAAAGAAAGAACACTTACTGAATGACTCCTAGATTTCATACGTCAGTGTCTATTGTATTAATTCTACCTCCAAGTATGGATCATTATATGTGAAACCTGTTATTATTGATTTTATTCCTGAATCAGCTGCAGATTTTCCCATTCCATCAATTATCATATTTTGAGATTTATATTGGATTACTCCCTGATCAAATAAGTTCTACATCGGTCTTGCTGGATTCATTTGTTCTCAAAGACGTTTTTCCTCGAAAAAAGGGTCAGGCGGATTATTCCTGGATCAACTATAACTATCGGTGGTGTTTCGATGGATTATTTTATTTATTGTTAAATTTTGATGTATTTTAAATGTACATATATATCTAGTAAAACCATATGTTGAATATGTAAATCGTGGATTTTGGTATGTCTTAGTACATTGTATTGTTACAATGAGAACAAAATAGGACTCCACAAATGCATTTTAAACTGCAACACAAGACGTCCATAGGGTAAAATTAAGAATGATACACATAGCGTGAAGCAGATCTAACTTCAAATTAATAACACTCATATATGACAATATAATGTTCCCCAATGAGGCATAATGAGCAATGAATGGCATTTCTACTAGCAACTTTTAGATAAGATGTGATCAGTTGAAAGTATTGCAGTAATTGATACACACTATATTTATATCTCTACTATATGGACATATTACACATTCCACTAGAGAAACGGTACATCTCAGATAGACAGAATCTTCTACACGGTACCCTTCCAGGACAAGATGTAGTCACCGTCTCATTGAAATAGCATGAGAAAATGCTTCTTCAAACATAGCAGCAATGTATCTGTTTTCCATATTGCAGATGTCAAAATCACCTACAACTGTCCTATAACCCATATGGCCTAGGATCGCACATCTCAGCTCCCTGGGGATCTGAAACTTCTAGAGAACAAATTCTCATTCCCATCAAAGCCTGATGATGATTACCACCATTTTTCAACAAAACAGGTGGTTTCTGAGAAGCTGAAAAATTGAATGTTTATGCACGAGAGAGAATGAACCAAGACAAAAAGCAATCGTAATAGGTCAACCGAGTGATTCAGGTGACTAAACAGCCCTGCCATACTATTTAACATATAAACACACATATATCTGACCTGCTCACAACCCACTTTACCTCTAATATTACCTACGGCTGTTCGGCAGTACCTTCACAGTATACCTTCTAAGCCTTTGCCATGCACTATCACTACGACTATGCAACATTGTGGTTAACTGATTTACATTGCAATATTTGTTATATATGTGCTTGAATCTGTTTGTCGGATCTGGACTGTTTGACAGCTGGGGACCAGAGACTCAGAAAAAGGTGTTCGCTTCGGTGTAGGCCTGGTGGCAACATAAATGTCTAGACATGTAAATCTTCAAACGACCGCCAAATGATGACATTTAAATAGATGACGTAGCTTTATATATGCACCTCATAAAATGATAATCCTCCTTCTGTGATCCTGACCAGGTAGCACAATCAGTTTGACATTTAAGGACCATCGATAATACGTGAGTTGTACGACTTTAACTTTGGTCATGAGTGTGATCATAAAACTGTATAGCGTATATATGAATGTTTGCAAGATGGCTTCAGTAATGTTTTATTGTTTACCTTAATGTGTGAAGATTGCAATAGAGAGGAAAAGACTAATGATGACGTGTACAAATATGAATGTGATGTGAATGTCTATGGTCCAAAGAGAGTCTGCTTATCATGCAACTAAACAAGTGGCAAACAAAAATATCTGTCAGCGTAAAAAACAAAACAGATGAAGCAGTAAATTTGCATTGCATATGTTTTATTAAGAAATGGCCTATATTACATTACTTTCTTTCCATTTCCATTACCCCCTTCCTAATTATAAGAACCAAATGACGCTTGTGGATTTGTCAGGTAAATACAAATCTATAAAGTAAAACTTGTTGATAGGCTAGTGCCCTTAATTCGAGTTGAACAGTATCCCATAACGGAAACCTTCTCTATTGCTCGCTTCTGCTGAAAATAAATTTAATGAGTTCATATTACTGTTGCTTCATCTGAAAAAATTGTATAGTGTTTTGTATCATTATAGTATGAAGACCAAAAAGAAGAAGGAATATATATATAAATGCCCCTGTTATAAACAATATTTTGTTTTAAAATTTTAATATACGGGAAGTTTTGTATTTCGAGTGACACTTTTGCACGTTAGTATGTGTTAGCAATACGGTGCATGTTGTATCAAAATACCGTAATATTCATTAAACGAAATAAATATATCATATGTATTTGTGATATATAGTTAACAAACAGAAACGATAGTAACAGACTATGTGAGAAGGAAACCAATCGTGAATCATCGGCACCTTCCCTAACGAGACGATTCGAATTCCCGATTGCAGAAAATCTAGTTCCAATTGCCGGTCTTTACTCGTCCCCATTTTTTGACCGGAAGAAAGACCGCACGGGAAGTAACTCTAAAATAGATGCCATTTCGCCGGAACATAAATTCCCTCAGGATCACTTTTCGACTTAATGTATAAACTTATTCACACGTGTCCTGAAGTGTTGCTTTTTTGTAACGATGAAAGTGTTTGTGTATGGAACATTGCAAAGAGGTCAGCCGAACTTTCAACTGTTTGACGACACAAAAGATGGTTGTTATAAATCTTTAGGTGTTGGAATGACCACCAAGAAGTACCCACTGGTGATAGCCTCGAAGTTCAATATTCCGTTCATGTTACCTGTTGAGGGAACCGGCAATGTAAGTATGATACTGGTAGTATCGATCTGGTATTACGTCACCTTACAATATTACGTATCAAGGATGTATTAGGTTGTTGTTAATTTTTATTTATTCAGGGGCATAGCCTAGCTCTTATTGCTTTATTTTTTCGATATTGATTTACTGATTTTAAGAAAAATCACTTTTGGTATGTAATGGTTATATAAAAAAACATTTTTCGGTCTTCAATGTTTACTCTCTCGATAACCTGTGTTTTCTGCAAAGAACTTAAGAAATATTATATTTCATAGGTAGTCTGCTATATAAATGGTGTTCTAACCTCTACCCAAGTTGTTTTCGTTGTGATATATTGTAATGAATTTGGATCTCTGTAATTGGTTACATTACATCCTCACATAATGTGTATTTAGTCTAATCCATCAGAAATTAACGAGAAAGATTTAAACATAGGATTACTACAAGCTTGGTGATCCTTAACCAAATACTATCAAGAATATATCTTGGGTGGATTTTAACACGATATATACATTATACGTATCGGATACGTATAATGTATATGGGCAAGAATTCGCTATTTGAGATTTTGGTGTCCATTTGATAAATGTTGTTTTATTTTAATATTGAGAGCATTTACGTGGACTATTTAATGTTTTACAAAAATACAAGAGTGTTTTCTCAATAATTGAAATAAAATAAATCTGNAGACTTAAGAGTCCTGTATGTACAGTAGGTTGTGTGTAATCCGCTTTAAAACATAGGGATGATATATTCGGTATCCCTGTCTTTGCATCTTTATCTTATCACTTTGTAAGGCATGTGTATAGGATACAAAACATCACGGACTTAGATCTAATCTAATTCAGACCTTATATCAAGGCGATAATAGAATGCTGCAGATGGTGTTATGCTAAAAGTGTTAAATAATTATATTGATTAAAATGTATGGTCAGCAGGAATATAGAATGCCTAGCTTGATATAAGAGAAAGAAAAGGATTTCCTGTTTCATCACAAATATGGTCGGAAAGAATTGGGCCTGCTCTTAAGTTACCTAGACTTAATCTCATCTTATGTTTTAATTAGTCATCTTTACTTCTCTTTTATCATGCAGTGTGAACAAGTTTAGGTTGTCAAATTTTCGGAGCGATCCGCTCCTTTTTCAAGACACAGAGAAACAGAACAGTTACATGTACATATACATCATATTACAAGAAGATAGAATTGATATACTATAATTGAAAATAATCCGAAAATTTGACAACCTAAACTTGTCCACACTGTTGGAATTACTTCTTTGCCCCGTATAATATTTTAAGTAATTCGTATCCTACGGACATACCTCCATTAGGATCCAGTGTTATATGGGATTTTACCGTCTATGTTACTTCTTTGACCCATATATATATATCTATATACAGTCATGTGCTTTAAATATCTAAACATATCTGCATGAAATTTGCGCATGCTCTTACCTACGTACTTTTAGTTACTATGCTTGAAACATTCTCTCATGCTTTCGCTATAGTAGTATCTAATACTATCTATATATGTTTCATCACCTTGCTTTGATATTTTTCTGATTTGTCATGATTTTCGTCTTTTTTGGAGACCGAAGAGGTAGGGATACTGACCCAAGAAAATTGGCCCAAACAAGGGTAGATCAAAAGAAAAATAATCTATGGGATGATTGGGAGACGAGAAACATACTTAGTGTTAGCATTAGAGCATCGTCAAAAACATGAAAACACGGGGAGCTATTACAATTTAACTTTGTAACAACACTTTTAAGTAATTAAATATCTAAGTATTATTTGGCATGTTCTGATTGGCATTAAAGTATTACTTGGCATGTTCTGATTGCACCAATAAGCGAGCATCTGCGACACTCGTCCTAAAGCCTCCCCCGAATTCCAACCGCATCTAATCACAAGTGTGACATCGGCTGCGCTAGTGGTCGTGCTGGTGAAATAAAAACGAGGTATCACGTAGCAAAATTGTGAAGTCGCAAAACAATTCTTTCTTGTCATATGTATATTTAAGTAACTCTAACATTGCGTGATATGTATTGTAATCAATTAATTTTTGTCGAAGAGGACTTGAATCAGTTGGCAAAACTTGTGTCCAATTCGTTTGCAACATCTGTTATTTGCAATAAAATATGTTCAAATCAAATTGATTGGTTTTCTAGGTCACATTTCCTTATACGCACTGAAGTAGAACACGCAGTACATTCCATTATATTTTGACGTAAAGAATAGATATTATATACATTAGCCCAGGCTGACTAGGCATTCGTTGTTATATATATTTCATCACCATATGTGGATTAGTTCTTACTTTTATTTTGGGGGCATAGCACATTGCGGAAGGGCCAGAGTAATGCCTGGAGTTTGTTGTGTTAATGAATTTAGGTGTTATAGATTGTCATAATTATGAATTATTTGTAAATAAGACACTTCATCATCACAAGTCCTTGAAGACCCTATATAAAAGAATGGCATGTACAATGATATGTAAACAATAAATATCGTGTTTAAATATTTGCTTTTCACAAACAGAAAATCAAGGGCGAGGTGTACGAAGTTGATGACCGGATGTTGGAGGTCTTGGACGAACTTGAACGTCACCCAACCTTCTACCGTCGCGAGATGATCCCTGTCACAAGTGAGGATGGTTCGACTGTAGATTGTGGCTGTTATCTCCTGTTCAACTTTCGGGAGGATCTGTTAAAGCTGCCCTTTTATGACACTTATGATTCCAACGGTTCACATGACTTGCCATACGTACCCAGTAGCTCAAGGGATGTCGGAAAGAATTACAATTTGATTTCCTCGGTGAAAAATGTCGATTGATTGAATTCGTAACCGCTTTTACCTCATATTGGGAATATCCTTTATGTATACGTCAAGTTGTTACTCTAAAATTAGGACACCAATTAGTGTCCACGGCAACTGATGCACAACAGAATGAAGATGCGTAAAAACATTCTAACTTGAATTAGTATGGTCAATGAAAACGCGGGGATAGGGTCAGTCCCCTTGGCCAAACCTATTAAAAGAATATATATCCATACTATATTATATGCCCACAAATTGTATATATCGTTATGGGGGTGGGGGGAGGGTTCAACCTTTTCCAAGCTGTGACACAGAAATTAAGTTCCTATTGATGGGGCCAGACCCCGGAGTCAATTCTTATATCATGTTTGTGTTCATCTTATGGCTCAACCATCCCCGCTCCCAGGGGTACCCCCCACCCTGCCCGTTACCGACCGGGAGTTCATTTGTCCAATTTTGAATCCCCACCACTTGAGTATGCTTCCAACCAAATTTGGTTTAATCAGCGATGAAGTCGTTTGAAGAATGACGAATGATGAAGGCAACAGTATGGCAAAAGGTTACCTCGGTCCTTCGAACCAGGTGAGCTACAATCACCACTGACAATGTAAAAGTATTTGTGAAAATGCTTAATACAGTAACACTTAAATAAAACTTCGGATTTTATTAACAAAGTACTTAATTATTTACTGTACATTTATTGATAAAGACCTTAAGTTTTTAACCAAAAGTATATTTTTACATTTTAAAATCCATGAAAATGTTCCGGGTGAAGAATGAAGTATTACTAACGGGGACACTATTTTATGTATTTTAATGATAGATTTCTAAAGAATGGCGAACCAATTTTGCCAGCAATTTTGCAATGGCTGGAATAAGAAAATTGTTTTTTATCTGTCTTGCCTATCAAGATCTGTCTGAAATCACGAGTGTGTCGAGTGTTTGTCTGTCGCCTATTTGTTATTCACATTATAGCTAGATTTGATATTATGTTACACCTAGTCGTCTTCCATTGTATAGCATATAATATTGTTTTACAAAGTGAAAGAGCGTGCATAATGTTAATGTAATTTATGCCCAATTCCTTTGATGTATATAAACTACAACACCTTACCTTTGAAGCGATACCGACGTTTCCTAGGGTACGTGCTATTGAGATTGTTCACGGATAGAAAAATAATATGGATGGAAATTTGTTATTCGTTTTTAATAATGTCATGCATGCGTTGCATTCCTCCAGATTATAAATATTTTTCGAAGAATTGCCATACATGTATTGGAACAGAGTCGAAACCTTTTATTCTATTTACGAATGATAATGGTGATAAAGTACAAACGTTTCCTAAAACCACACGTATTTTTTATTTATGTGTTTTACAAGAAAAATTCAAATGTCGGAAAGCTACAGAATTCTAAGATAAATAGTTTTTCTGTCATACTTTTGAAACTATTTTCACTACCGTGTGGTCTTATGTTGCACGTAATTCCATTTTTTACGAAAATGAAGTCAAAATGATCGGTCAAGATGATTGGTCAAAATGATTGGTCAAGATGATTGGTCAAAATGATTGGTCAAGATGAGTATGAATTATGTCATGTGTATGAAAGTGAGATTGAGACTTTTCAATGCTTGTTTTTATTATGTTCAAAACTAAATGAATTTGTTTTATGTCGAGAGTTTATTTAAAAAATTGGTATAAATTTATCAAATAAAAAGTGGCGTCGATTATTTAATTTATATTATTTGCGGAAGCTTGTCCTTCTTGATTGAACAGGAAAAGCAAAGAATGCCAAACTAAGTATATAAATGTATGTATATCTCTACCCTTGGGAGTTGTTTCTGTATTTTCAAGAGACGGAATTTGTTTATGAATGCCATTTCAAATATTGACTTTCAGCTGTTCTTTTGTTACAAATTTCTCAAATATTTCACGTAAAACAGATTTTATTATCAAATGAAAAAGAAGAAAAGATTGTTCATCAAGTGATTTGCTTTGGTTTATTTTATTGATCGTCCTATTAACAGCTAAAGTCATTTAAGGACGTGCCTTCATGCGTGTTATGTAAACGTGCATGTGTGTTTGTGTGCCGGAGACAGGGGTTGTTCATCAAATATAGGTTAACAAATAACATGTCCGTTAAAGAAAACTATGCTTTGATATGAGTTCCATAAGGATGATTTAGTAAGTAATATTATTGAATTTGTAAATATGACACAAACGTGATTTGTGACTGTTCATGTTGAAATGTGATATGTAATTCTATAGTACTGTTTGAATACATGATTATGTGCACTGTGCGGAACCACATGAGCCCCAACCCCTAAAATCTTATGGCTCACCGCTGGGATAATAAATGATATATTTCTAAGAAGAAGAAAAACACTCCGATACGTCTTTTTTCTGTCTCTGCCGAAATGACTCCGAGGATCCGTGGAAAATGAGGTTTCCAACAATCAACCCGAGACCTTCAGAAAGTAAGATTTGAAATGGAAACTTTAAGGTCGCTTCAAAAAGCAAGTGATTCAAAGTTAGGAAGTATTATAAAATACCAAGGGGGACACACATTACTTATTACGGATAAATTATCCATGAAATAACTGCTAGAAAGCATACTATTTTTTTGTTGCTGAAATTAATATTCCGTCAGAGTTGCAAGTGCGAGACGAACCGCAAAGCAAGCTGATATTATCTTTAGGTCACTTTTATCGAGATACTTATGATATATATATATGATTTAGCTGGGTAGCAAATAAAACACATGTACAGTACTAATGTCTCGACACTATTCAAAAGTGAGTTTGTTTGTTTTTACAATAAGAACAAGTACTAACTGTAATGGGGACCATTACAGAAGTCTCCCAAACTGCCCCAATAATCGCAACGATACATCAGAAAATGATCACAATGGCATAAAACACCTTATGATAATAATGATAATTGTAGATTCTTATATACCGCTTTATCACATCCTAGTTCGTAGGTCGTCTCAAAACGGTTCACAAAGAATGCGGTCCATACTAAATTTGAGTGAAATCGAACAATATCTGAATTTCGACATCACAGTTACTATGACGTTATCAAACAAGACAGAAACATCATAGCATCACTGTACCGTTTTGTTTTTCACATGCACATGATCTCAAAGCATGATATTTCACCCAAAAAGAAATTGAATTCATCAAAAATTACAAACCTATTCAAGTTTTAATTTTCCAGATTACCTCCCTTTGTTGGTAGTTTGAGAGCAGAATTGGTAAAAATTCACCTCTCATGAGAATTCATATTACTCGGTCACTTTTGAAGTGAGAAAGGAAACATCTTTTTGCTTATTGTGTCATTTTCCAGACATTTAAAAGGTTTTCATTAAATTTTGGGAAAAAGAAAGTGATGTATAAGCAGGAACAGTATATATATACGTCCCTGGTATAAGGTAGCAGTGTACAGTAGCGTACAATGGTCATGGGTGATATTTTTGTACAATGAATAACACTTGTAATATTACATGTATCAAAACTTTTTTTAAAAATCAGCTCTTAAATTGGCATATACATGATGAATTGGACTATGTTGGCTTAACATTTAAAAAAAAATCGAATTTGGCTTGAGACTACATTTTTGGCCATTTACGAATCTGTGTCTACACAACAAAAGCTAGCTTTTCATGTAGCCTTTTTTGTACTCAGCACATGTGTAAATATTGTGAAAAAATCAGTTTGAGGACCTATGCTAAAACGTGAGTTTCTGCGACCGAGTAGATGATATTTTATTTAAGACAGGTTTTCAGAAAAGAAATCCACTTGCGTGGGTCAAATTTTGGGTTAAATCATGTTTTTTTACACTTTTAGGCGGTTTTTGATGTGGTAGCTGTGGTTTTCACAAGTCCCAAATCCGGGGAAAATCACCTTTTGAAAAAAAAAATCTTCTAAATAAACGTATTCAAAATGTAGTTTATCTATATATATATATATATACAAATGTAGGTGTTGTGCAGGATGAATCAGCTGTCCATGTTTATCCGAGACATGCCCTTCATTTTGAGGGTCAAGCCATTTCTACTGTACTCTGCTACCTCCATGTTGTTGGTATGGCAACAAAAACTATGCAGTTGAATTTGCAGTCCCCTAATACCCCTATATACCAATTTTCATAAAAATCAAACAATATATAAATTTGACCAATCAGAAGCCTCCGTGTGGTTGCTATATAGTTACTATGGCAACGAAACATATGCGGTTGAATTTGCAGTCCGCTAATACCCCTATATACCATTTTTTTTTTATCAAAATCGAACAATATCTACCCCATAGTCGCAAAGATGCATCAGAAAATGATCGCAATGCCTTTATACAATGTACACATACATACTAAATTTGAGTGAAATCGAACAATTTCTAAATTGCGACCAATTAGAAGCCCCTGTGTGGTTGCTATGGCAATGAAGGTATGTGATTGAATTTGCAGTCCTTTATTACCCCTATATATCGATTGTCATCAAAATCGAACACTATCTAAATTTGTACCATTCAGAAGCCTCCGTGTGGTTGATATGGCAACATAACCTATGCGATTGAATACGCATGCAGTCCCCCAATACCCTTGTTAACCAATTTCCACAAAAATTGAGCGGTATCTAAATTTCGACCTATCAGAAGCCAGTATATGGTGGCCATTTTGTCAAATTAGAAAACAAATGTCGCAGTTGAATTTGCAATGCGATATTACACAAAAATACTAAATTTGAACGAAATTAAACAATAACGGAGGTTCTACCAAATAGTACTGTAACCAGCATAATGGCAGTCATTTTGTCTAATTAGAAAATGAATGTCATGGTTGAGTTCGCGGTACCACCATACACCTACATGCCAAATTTGGAATGCATTTGAAAATATCTATAAAACATGTAAACTAGGATAGGTGACATTGACTATCTTTAGCGAACACCTTTAAAAATTTTAATTTCCCAAAAATTTCAAAAATTTGTGTTGGCCATTTTGTTGACAATGTCAAATATATTTTTTTATTTCAACTTTAGAGCACGCAAATGGTGGCTATGGTGGCTATATTGTCATATCAGATGACGGATGTCAGCATTGTGTTTCTGGTGTTATACTTTACCTACAAACCTATTTTCATCAAAATTGGACAATATCTAAATTTCGACCAATCAGAAGCCACGATATGGCAGCCATTTTGTTGACAATGTCAATTATTTTTATTCGACTTTAGAGCACATCCTATACAGATACTTTCCTCAAAATTTTATTTTGAAGCGCCAAATATAACAAAAAATATAACAAAAGTTATGGCTCAAAATGTTTCAGCCAATCAGAGGCTGTGGCAGCCATCTTGGATGGTGATCGGAAAAACAAAAATGTGTTTGCACATCTAGAGGCTATCAGTAATAATCCCTCAAAGTTTGGAGATCAGCCTTATAGTTTCTGAGAAAAGTGTTGGAAATCTTTACGGCGGGAAGCGGAAGAAGAAGAAAAAGAAGAAGAAAAAGAAGAGGAAAGAATAATAAGAAGAAGAAGAATCGGAGTAAAAACAATAAGTCCCCAAACAAATAACTCTTTTATCAATATGCAGTTGAATTTAAACTAATAATCTCTTAATTAATAATTATAATCAGTAACAAGTTTTAATAACTAGCAATACGGGAACTGTGGGAATGTGTGAAAAGTATATTTCATGATCAATCAACGTTTTACTCTGAAGGAAATAAAACAAATGTGTTTTATCTCTGATGAAAAAAAGAGATTGTGTACCATTTAACTTCTGTGATGGGGGGACATCTGGTTTACAACGCATTCCAGAAATTATACAACAGCACTACATGTATTTTTCCCCCAGATTCTCGTTAAAATTGATGCCTAACATGGAAGGCAATACAAACGCTAGCGTAGTTTCCTCTGGCCCCGACACCAGACTTTAGACATTTTGACAGATAGATGTCTGGTGAGGCCTGGCCCCAACACCAGACTTTAGACATTTTGACAGAAAGATGTCTACACCAGACATCTATCTGTCAAAATGTCTAAGTCTGGTGTCAGGGCCAGAGGAAGCTTGGGCTATACGAGACAAGCGCATACATTGTTGAATTTCTCTCAATCAGTTAACGTTTGTGAGATATTCTATATGAACTTATTACACTACCCATGAAAGAAACCAGTTCTACACAGTACCCTTGCAGCACAGGTACTAGCCTTGCTGTCAATACACCTACAATTATAGTATACAATGTAGGTGTATTGACAGACGAGGCTAGTACCTCTGCTTCCAGCATAAGATGTAGTCACTCGTCTCATTGAAATAACATTCCCAAATTGTCTCTTAAAACATAGCAGCTATGTATACATGCATATATGTCTTCGGATTCATTTCGCTGATGGTAAAATAACCTATAACTGTCCTATAAGGTACATGTTACTGTAATTAAATCAATATAATTAAATGACTAACATTTTAGTTAAAGTTTTTGAAGACAGCAGAAGGTGAAATATTGGAGGTTAAATTTCGATCCATCTTGCATATCAGACACTAATGTGAATTACAATAAGTTACTTAATCCATACCCCTAAGCTCACTTTGGCAGTGGGGGGAGGAGGGTGGTTGGCATGGCCCCATCTTGATTATAAAATACAGATCCTCATCATCATAAGTACAATTTTGTGAAATCTTTGTCAAATTCTCCAGATAGAACTCAAAGGTTACACACTCTGTTACCCATGATAGATATATACCCTAGCTGCCTGTCTCATGGGGTCAGTGCCTTTTTAGCTATAAAGTTTTGTTCCCACTTATCTTAATGTAATTTATGAAAAGTTCGTCCAAATCTACCAGTTACAAGATTTTGCACGTAATGGCCCCTTAATCATGGCCCCCATCTGAAGACCTTTACGGGGCAGCCCCTTCTTGACTGAGTATATATTTTGATTCTCATCTACAGATTATTTTATTGAATTCCTTTTAGATTCTTTTGGCCCTTCACCTCAGCCTTCTAGGGGTCAGTCGCTTCTTACCAGACTCTGATTCCCATCCAAGACTAAATATAATGATGATTATCCTCAATTTTTCATCAGAATGCTTAATTCTGAGGAGTTGAAAATGGGAATGTCAACTCATAACAGAGGATGCACTATAAAGGACAAAAGTTGAATGTAAAAGGTCATTTCTCAGGTGAACACAAACTACTAACATACTGCTCGGCATGAAAAACACAATGTAAATATCAAACTCAGAACTACGGGATGGAAGACCCATTTCTTATTTTAATGCTTCAAATTCATTTGACCTGCACTCAACCCATTTTACCACTGACATTACAGGTACAACCTGTACTCTTGATATGCAAGTACATTTGTAACAACATAAATCTGTGTTTTCTTCCGAATGACAAGCAAGGCATATCATGTTCCTCAAATGGAAAGTTGAAAGGAAAAAGAAATATATTTTTCCTGGCTTCTTGTCATTTGGGAACATGTCACACCTCTGAAAAACAGGTAAAACTAGAGTAAAGTAATGAAAAGAACAATTTTCATTGAACATGCATGAAATCACAGATCTGTGCCTTAATGATTTTGAAACTATTTCATATAAAGCAAAATAAGTACAATCCATTTTTTTCGTTTTTACTACTTCACTCAAAACCAAAGGTAGGCATGCTACTGTGATGAAACCCAGGCATAATCATCTTTGCTGTATGCTTTAGTCACTCAAATTATGAGACGATAAATTAAATACATTATACAGTTATTCTAACGAGCTAAAATATTTACCAAAGAGGTATGTTCATCTTTTCTTACTGCAGTAAAACTTGGGAATAGATTTATCTTAATCTACTTTATTTTCTCTTAATCAGTAAGCCATTTCGATGATATTAAAAGATGTTCTGTAGGATTAATAGATGTTCTGTAGCATTAACAGACGTTCTGTTATATTAAGAGTAGTTTTGTATAGAGAAAACAAAATTGCTTCAAGTGAATGACTTTAATGTCTGACATACATCATATACAAAACATTTCATACTATTAACAAGGTTTTATTATTCATTACATCATAACCATTCAAAATATTTACCTGTGTTGAAAAATAGTGTACAATGAATTAAAGAACAAAACCTAGTACTGCAAACATTAATAAACCAGCTAATTATAATGCTATAATTAAATTAAAACATCCAACAGCCACATCTGTAACAACATGTGTTCGCAGAAACTTATATTAAGCCACAACTGCTCCTTTTTTTATGTCCACATATCAAGTAATATTCTGTTAAATTCACTGATCCATCCATTACAGCAGACATATCTGAATGAAGTGTGGCATTCCTTTCGTATAAGGCTTTGGGATTTTTTTAGGGATCAGCATCTCCTTGTGATCAGTCAAACATTTTTTGTAGCCCACATAATTGTACTTCAATCCATGATTAATATTTCAAAGCCAATATCCACCCACACTTCTTTCCTATTCTTTGCAGTCAAGTAAACAGAGGACACAATAGGCAGCAACCCAACACTTTTCACACAAGAAAAGGAAACACTAGGATTGTTCTGGGTTTTCAAATTCATCCAAGAATTTTTCTTGTTTGATACTGTGGATGGTTCCTGCATCTGAACAAATAGTGAAGGATCATAAGGAAGAATTCAGAAGATATGAAGCATTGCCCCCAATTCACGTTATGTTAACAAGCTGGGAGTGCTCGTTATCAATCTGGGTTACCTGCTCTGGTATACACTTACCATAACCAGGAAAAGCAATCAATAATACTTGTTTTATCCCTAAAAATATTCAACATAAACATTTTCAGTTACTTTTACTTCAAATGAGGTTGGTTTTAAAAGTTGGAATATTACTTTATTAACAGCAAAATGTTTTATTACATGTAGCTATCATAAAACTACAAACAAGAGGCCCATGGGCCTTAACAGTCACCTGATATATTTATACAGAGAGTTGATTTTGTTTTTAACATGAACAGAAATATTATTCAAAGTGACAAAAAACAATAAAACCACCTTACTCAATATCTAGCATACAGATTTCAGACTAAAAAGGATTTGAAACTAGCACCTCTGATTCTTAACAAGGAAAATGAAGAAATTTTAGCACACTGACTCCTTTGAGCCCCACCCTACAGCCCTTGGGGGTAGGGCTGGCTCAAAATTTTCAAAGTATCAAACTGTCAATTCAAGGTTATAATTCCAATCAAGTTATTA